ATTTTTTTATTGTAAAATTTAAATTTATATTTATTTTTTATAATATTAACCATTATAAATTAAGATTAATCATCCCATAATCTTTTTGGTTTGGAGGACATTCATTATTAAATGTGTATATATATTTTATTGCTTATGTGTTGGATGGCTAGTAATACTATTATTTCATATTAACAGTTTTTTGGTTTTAACTAAATTATATACTAATTTATTTCTTTCCCAGTTGCAGAAAGGGGAATGGTGTAAATTTCTTTTTTTTCAATTCCTAAACCACATTGCCGATTGGAGCTTTGTCGGTAAAATGCTAATTTTTTTTTTCTTCTTGGTTATTGCCGATTGGAACTTTGTTGGTAAATCATATATAACCAATTAATTCTTGTAAATCGAAAATTCTTTTACAAATTTCTAAATCAACTTTCCGATTAATTCTTTGTCGGTAACTTATTGACATGAGTTGACCGGATGCAAGAAACGAGGTAACACATGGACGCTGAAAACGAGGTCTACAGCTAGAGACGTGAAGCTCGTCGGTAATTGACACCATGACTTACGTGAAAAGCTTCGGTAGTACGGTTCCGGTAGTTAATTTGAGACATGTGCTTTGTCGGTAATTTGGACCAAATTACCGACGTAACTCCATCGCACACCGGTGAAGTAATTACCGAGGAAGCCAACACCGACAAGTATATTACCGAAAAGTATAAGTTGGAAAGTTTATTTACCGACAAGATCCCTCCTCATTTCCGACATGATATTTCATCAGTAATTCTGTGTATTCTTGTAGTGTAACTAATTATAATCTTGGAGCCTCTGCAACCAATCCCTTGTGCCAATATCACTTTGCATTTGATCTGCACATTTGAGCACAGATTCTACCAATGTGAGGTCCTCCCTCCTTCTGCTTCTCCAGCTTCTCCTTCAAATTCCCTGAATTCCAAAATTGTCCGATTCTTCTGCCGAGCGGTGAAGCGGCTATAGAGAGTAGTTTCTCAATAAAAGTGAAAATTACGACACTTTGACTATTAAAATTTTTTATATGTGAATTTATTGAAAATATTTTTATTTTTTTATTATAAATTTTAACATTTTAATTAT